GCAGTCTGCCTTCCCTCCTTTCTTTAGGCTTCTTAGCTATACATAATGAGGGGGAGGAGAGAGGCAGCCACTCATGAGTTGAAGTAGCCTTTTGCTGCTGCTGCTGCTGCTGATGTTGCTGCAAGGCAGCTGCCTTGCAGCAGCAGCAGCAGGAGCAAAGATTTAGCTTGCAGTAGCAGTACCAGCAGCAGCAACAGCAATGGCTTGTCTTGCAGCAAGGGTGGCTAATAACCCCTTGTTGCATGCAGCAGAGGTGTATAAAAGAGTTAATAAGTTAATTAATTGTCAATAAATAATTTGCATGCAAAGAGAAATAAAAAAGACAACAATAGACAGAGAGGGAAATAAATATACCCTTAGCTGTACATACGCCGCAAGAGTATCCCCTCTTATTATACATGTAGGGTATATCAATAGTATTAATATAAGGAATAATAAATATATTTAACTAAATTATAATTAATTATAAAGAAAAAATATAAAAATATTTATTATATAAGCAGGTCTGTTGCTGCTAGCTGCTTCGGGTGTATATGCAGGTCGGCTGCGCGGTGTAGAGCTGCCTATACACCGCAGGAGAGGGAGTTATATTTTCTTGTATAAATTGACAGAATAAAGGATAAAAAATTAAATTAGTATTTATTTATTTAATTAATTTTGTTGCTTTTGTTGTATTTATACAATAAGAGGGGGCCCCTAGACGTATATAAATATATACACAAGAAGAGAGCCCCATTGCGGTGTATGCTCAGCTTTTGCATAAAGAACTACATTTGCATGCAGCATACGTCAATGTCTTTCTTTTTTATTGTTTTTTTCTCCTTTAAATAGCATCAATTAAGTCATTTATACATTCTTCGTGCCCGGGCGAGATGGGTTCCCCCGTCTTCAGCTCCAGGGTTTAGGGTTTAGGGTTTTGAGGGTTTTGAGGGTTTAGGGTTTAGATTAGGGTTTAGGGTTTAGAGTCTGTGGGACCCACGTATGAGGGCTTGACCTCGGAGAGGCGCCATAAGCGCCAGAGGAGCTCGAGGCTGTCGTGGGGGCCTCTTTGTTGTCTAATATTATATTAGGGTTTAGGGTTTAGGGTTTAGGGTTTCTTCTCATCTAATAAGAACACATACTACGCTAATTGGGGTGTACGTACACCCCAAAACCCTCGCGGCTTCTGTCAATTCTTCTCAAGGGTTTAATTATTATTATTGGCAAAACATCGAGACAATGGGGAATATCTTTGGAAGAAAAAAAATGTGAGTACAGTCTAGGGTTTAGGGTTTAGGGTTTAGGGTTTGGGTTCTAGGGTTTAGGGTTTAGGGTTTGCCTTTTTCGGTGTAGGGATTGGCATGATTAAGCGAGGAGGAATTAGGGTTTAGTCGCTTTGCTTTGGGTTTTAAGGGTTTGAGGTGGTTTAGTGTTTAAGGGTTTAGGGTTTGGGATTATCTAGGGTTTTGCCTTGTAGGGTTTAGGGTTTAGGGTTTAGGGTTTGTGATTTGCAGCCACCCTGAAGATGATTGGATTGTCCACATTAACGCTCACCAGACACAGGAGAGTTGTAGCAACGAAGTGGTAAGACTACAAACCCTAAACCCTAGCTCTAAACCCTAAACCCTAGCTCTAAACCCTAAACCCTAGCTCTAAACCCTAAACCCTAGCCCAAAACTCTAAACCCTAAAAGTTGCATTAGTAACCCCTCTAAACCCTAAATACATCACAACATTCCCATTTAACGGATTGTATCCTATGATGAATAATCTCATCCGAATTCTAAATTCTAAATTTTAGGGTTTAGGGTTTAGGGTTTAGGGTTTAGGGTTTAGGGTTTGTGGTGTATAGGTGACCTCCAAATATACTTTATGGAATTTTGTTCCAAAAAATTTATGGGAACAATTTCAGAAAACATCCAACGTTTATTTTATTGTTATTTGTGCTCTACAGTGTATACCAGCTGTAAACCCTAAACCCTAAACCCTAAACCCTAAACCCTAGTAAACCCTAATAAACCCTAATAAATCCTAATAACCCCTTAGATATCTTCGGTTCCTTATATACATACCAATCAGATATACAAACCCTAAACCCTAGATTATAAACATCGTATGCAAACCCTCAACAAACCTTGCCTTTCTCCCCCCCCCCCTCTAAAACCCTCAACATTCATCTCCAAACCCTAAACCCTAAACCCTAAACCCTAAACCCTTTTTTTTTTTTTGCAGATATCTACAACAAATGGTACTCCTACCCTTGCATTACCTCTTGCTGTAGTTGTGACGGTAAATGCATGCAAAGATGCATATGAAGATATTCAGCGTCATCAATCCGATAGACTGGAGAACCATCAAGTATAAACCCTAAACCCTAATAAACCCTAATAAACCCTAATAAACCCTAATAAATCCTAATAAACCCTAATAAACTCTAATTAACAATAGATGGTCGTGAGGGTTTAGGTTGTAGAGTTTATTATTTTGTTCATCTGCCTTGTTTAGGGTTTAGGGTTTTATTATAAGGGTTTAAGGGTTTAAGGGTTTAGGGTTTAGGGTTTGTACAGGTGACGTATACACTTCCTCGTAGTGCAGCAGAATCAGCAGAGTTTGCAAAGAAGGAATCACGTCGTCGTGAGCATGCAGCAGCAGCAGCAGCAGCACGAGCAGCAGCACGAGCAGCAGCATCAGCAGCAACATCTGCAGCAGCAGCAGCACGTCGTCATATATCCCGTAGAAATACCCAAGACGCCACCCCATATATCCAGCAGCAGCAGCAGCAGCAGCAGCAGCAGCAGCAGCAGCAGGAGGAGGAGGAGGATGATGAGTATGAGGATGATAATAGGTCTATAGATACAGGAGAAGAAGGAGAAGAAGATGAGCAGCAGCAGCAGCAGCAGCAGCAGCAAGAAAAGTTAATAAAATTAGGATTAATACCTCGTTTATGGAGAGATCTAAGATTAGGGGATATAATTATATGTAATAAAAATGAATCCTTTGCTGCTGATCTGCTGCTGCTGGGATCGTCCGATCCCCAAGGAGTTGCATTCATAGAGACAAGTAGTCTAGATGGGGAGACAAACCTTAAATTAAGACAGACAGCTAATGGTGTTGGTCCCTTGCTTCCTGTGCATCTCCCTGCTGCTGTTGCTGCTGCTCAATACCTACAAGGGAGACTAATTGCTCCTCAGCCTAGTAGGGACATTGGGGTTTTTGATGGTTTATTATATATAAATAATCATAAAAATTCCCTAAACCCTAATTCTAGTCTAAACCCTAATTCTAGTCTAAACCCTAATTCTAATCTAAACCCTAAACCCTTTCCTGTTAATCAATCACAAATTCTATTACGAGGATGTAAATTAAGAAACACTGAATGGGTTATTGGATTAGCTGTATATACAGGAAAACAAACAAGAATACAAATGGTTAGTTATATACACAAACAAGGGTTTAGGGTCTAGGGTCTAGGGTTTAGGGTTTAGGGTTTGGGGGTGGATTATTGAAAAGTTTTGTTTCTTTTTTTCTTTTTCATGTACTATATTATTAATATAAGATATATGTTTTCTATGGTTTAGGGTTTGGAATTTTTGAGGCTTTAGGGTTTAGGGTTTAGGGTTTAGGGTTTAGGGTTTAGGGTTTGTGTATTTTTTGAGGTTTGTGGATATGGTGTTTGAAAAGTTGGTGTTTGTATGTGTAAATATTTCTGCGTGTTTATAATATATTATTAATATATTAATTAATTAATTAATTTATTTATTTATTTATTTATTTATTTATTATGTTGTGTTGTGTACAGAATAGTGGTAGTTCTCCTCGTAAAGTATCCCGTGTAGAAAGATTAACAAATAGATTAACATTAACTGTTTGGGCTCTCCAAGTATTTCTTTGTTTTCTTGCTGCATTTCTTCATTTAGCATTTGTATTTTGGCAACCTAAAAGGGAATTCTATAGACAATTCACAGATAAAGGAGAACAATCTCCTACTCTTCTATGTAAGCCATTCATCCATTATTAGGGTTTAGGGTTTAGGGTTTAGGGTTTAGGGTTTAGGGTTTTTAGGATTTTTATCCTTTTTTTTTCTTTTTATGGTTTTTAATGATTTTTTGGATTTTTAGTGTTTCTTAGGATTTTAAGAGTTCTTGAAATTTTTAGGGTTTAGGGTTTAGGGTTTAGGGTTTAGGGTTTAGGGTTTAGGGTTTGCGTGTAGGGTTTGTGAGTTTTTTTACTTGGATGGTATTAACATGCAATATGGTACCAATTTCTTTAGTAGTACAAATGGGTATGGTGAAGGCATTACAAGCATTTTTTATATTTAAGGATAGAGACATGATAGCAGAGGCCCCTGTATCTAAGGAAAAAAAAATATATTTACCTACTGTGGATACACTACAGCAGCAGCAGCAGCAGCAGCAGCAACAGCAGCAACAGCAGCAGCAGCAGCAGCAGCAGCAAAGGGGGCAGCAACAATCACCAGCAGCAGCAACACCAACAAAACATCGAAGCGATAAATTCAGAGGTTCGTCCGCCAACTTGTAAAGTGTTATCTAGCTGCTGCTGCTGCTGCTGCTGCTGCTGCAGATGGCGGCATGCATCCGCTGCTGCTTTTGCTGCAACTGTTACCACTACTAGGTGCTACTTCAACTGCTGCTGTGGATGCTGCTGATGCTGCTGCTGTTCATGGTATTGCTGCTGTGCTGCTGTTGATGCTATTGCTGCTTCTGTTGCTGCTGCTGCTGCTGCTGCTGCTGCTGCTGCTGCTGCAGGTCAACTGCAACAAGGAGCCTGGCCACGTACAAGTGATCTAAATGAAGAATTAGGACAAGTTGGATATTTATTCTCAGATAAGACAGGAACACTTACAAAAAACTTCATGGAATTCAGGAAATGCTGTATAAAGGGTAAACCCTAAACCCTAAACCCTAAACCCTAATTTATAAACCCTAAACCCTAATTTATAAAACTCTAAACACTAAATTATAAACATTAATTTATTAATTGATAACATAGGAACACAAACGTTTCGTTGTTCTTACTTACTTTGCGACTGTTTGTACTTTTGTCTACAAGGGTTTAGGGTTTACGGCTTTAGTTGAGGTTCTTGCTCCAATATTAAGGGTTTAGGGTTTAGGGTTTAGGGTTTGTGGTGTTGGGGTTATTGATTAGGGTTTTGTTATGGGAAGGGTTTAACAGATATTAGACGTCAAGTCCTGCACCGTCTAGGGAAACCTCTTCCTCCTGAGCCTCCACCTAGTGAGTTAGGGTTTAGGGTTTAGGGTTTAGGGTTTATTCCATCTAAGACATTATACCTAATGATAAACCCTAATAAACCTTCCTAGGGTTTGCATGTGTTTAGGGTTTATATTATAAATATATTGTAGTGTATCCAATGTTTCCCCAATTGTTTTGAAAAACTTTCTAAGAATTTCCAAGGGTTTAGGGTTTAGGGTTTAGGGTTTAGGGTTTTTTTTTTTTTTCAGTCCCTGGAGAATCTCAAACCCCTCATGTACAAATATCAGATATTGATCTAATTAATCATTTAAATGATTTAAATAACCCTATGCATAAACATATTATTCAATTCTTCTTCCATCTTGCTGTTAATCATTCTGTTATTTGTGAGACTGCACAAGATGGAGGATCCACGTAAGAAATACGAGGGTTTAGGGTTTAGGGTTTAGGGTTTAGGGTTTAGGGTTTAGGGTTTTTTAGGGTTTAGAATTTATATTTTAGGGTTTAGGGTTTAGGTAACATTATTATTCAATTCTTCTCTCATCTTGCTGTTAATCATTCTGTTATTTGCTACACAGCACAAGATGGTGGATCGACGTAAGGGTTTAGGGTTCAGGGTTTAGGGTTTAGGGTTTAGAAATGTGTTTCACCATTTTTATAGATGCGATACAGCACAAGATGAAGGATCCATATAGGGTTTAGGGTTTAGGGTTTATGAGTGTTTAGCACCCTTCATTTTAATATATTTTAGAGAATAGAAGATAAAATATGTACCTAGGGTTTAGGGTTTAGGGTTTAGGGTTTGGAGGTATTTGGTATTTGTGTCATATATTTCTTATTTCCTGATGGTTTTGTTTGTTTTTTTTTGTATATTATAAATGTTATTGTTGTCTTTCTTTTTATGTCTAATTAAATAAGATATTTATTATATATAATTATATATATATGTATATATATATGTATATGTATATGTATATGTATATATAGGTATGGTGCAAGTAGCCCAGATGAAGGTGCATTAGTGTATACAGCTCATCATTTTGGTGTTTCCTTCCTTAGTCGCCAATCCGAGGGTTTATGGATATCTATAAGAGGAAGAAAAGTATTTGTTAGGGTTTTATGTGCAATAGAGTTTACATCTAAGAGAAAAAGATCTAGTATACTTGTACATGTAGGGTTTCCTGATGATGATGAGGAGGATGAGGAGGAGGAAGAGGAGGAAGAGGAGGAAGGAGGAGAGGGAGATGGGGGAGAGGGAGAGGGAGAGGAAGGAGAGGAGGAGGAGGGAGAAGAAGGAATAGATCTAGCTGGCAGCAGCAGCAGCAGCAGCAGCAGCAGCAATAAGAGGAGTAAGAAGAACAAGAAAAAGAAGAAGAAGAAAAATAATAATAATAATAATAATAAAGGAGGAATAAATCATTTAAAGGGAAGAATATTATTATTAACAAAAGGTGCAGATACAGTTATATTACCATTAATAAAAAAAAAAGAAGAAATAGAGGAAAAAATGATTAATATACTAAAGGAATATGCTAATGATGGTCTACGTACTCTTTGTATAGCACAAAGAGAAATAAATAAACAAGAATTTATTCAATGGTTTAATTTATACCAACAAGCAGAGAATACTACTACTAATAGGCAAGAAAAATTACAAGAGTAAGTCCTAAACCCTATATTAGGGTTTAGGGTCTAGGGTTTAGGGTTTAGGGTTTAGGGTTTAGGGTTTAGGGTTTAGTTGAATTTATTCAATGGTTCAATTTATACCAACAAGCAGAGAATACTACTACTAATAGGCAAGAAAAGCTGCAAGAGTAACTCCTTATTGTCTAGTAAACCCTAAATTAGGGTTTAGGGTTAGGGTTGAGGGTTTAGAGTTGAGGGTTTAGGGTTTAGGGTTTAGTAGAATATATTCAGTGGTTTAATTTATACCAAAAGGCAGAGAATACAACCACTAATAAGCAGGGAAGGGTACAAGAGTAAGTACTTATTTACTTTTATTTGTTTAGTAAACCCTTTTTTAGGGTTTAGGAAAAGGGTTTAATAGGTGGGGGGTTTATAAGGGAGGGAGGGTTTGTAAACCCTAAAAAAGGGTTTAGGGAGAAGGGTTTAATTAAAGGGTTTATTATTGAGGGTTTATTATAGGAAAAATATACAAGAAAAAGTACAACAGTAAACCCTTTTTTAGGGTTTAAGGAAAGGGTTTGTCAAGGGGGGTTTAATTAAAAGGTTTAGGGTCTAGGGTTTAGGGTTTAGGGTTTAGGGTTCCTTTATTTATTTATTGATTTGTCTGCTTTTTATATATATAAAAGTGTCTCCTTTTTTATATGTCTCCTGTGTCCTTTTGTGTCTCCTTTTTCCTGTCTCTTTTTTTTTATGTATCTCCTTTTTTTGTCTCCTTTTTTGTCTCCTTTTTTGTCATTTATTTATTTTTTTTTTTTTTTTTTTTTTTTTTTTTTTTTTTTTTTTTTTTTTTTTTTTTTTTTTTTTCCTTATAGGGTAGCCGAGTTATTAGAGAAAGATTTAGAGTTACAAGGGATAACAGGATTAGAGGATAAATTACAAGAAGATGTTGGCACTACTATTGAAAAACTTAGACAAGCAGGAATTAAGGTACAAATTAGGGTTTAGGGTTTAGGGTTTAGGGTTTAGGGTTTAGGGTTTAGGATGCGGTGATGTATATGTTTATGTTGGCACTACTATTGAAAAACTTAGACAAACAGGAATTAAATTATAAATTAGGGTTTAGGGTTTAGGGTTTAGGGTTTGGGATGTGGTGATGTGTTTATGTATTGATTTTTTTTCTCCTTTCTTTATATTTATTGCATGCATGCATGCATACACATCTTGCATGCATGCATGCATGCATATATGTGTCTCCTTTAATTGATGCTAAAAAAGGAGACAGCAATAAATAAATATTTATTTATATATATATTTATATATATTTATGCATGTATTTGTTTGTATTTTTGTGTATATAAATGCATGAATGCATGCATCCTACTATGCATGCGTATTTTATATATAATAATATATATATATGTATATATATGTATATATAAATGCAGGTATGGATGTTAACAGGAGATAAGGTAGAGACAGCAGTAAATATAGCAGTAGCTACCTCCTTATTGTCTGAAGAAATGACAAGAATAACTTATATATGGGAAGAAATGAGTAAAAATAAACATAAATTATTGCATAAATTACATCAAGATATAAGATATATAGCTAAACAAAGGAGACAACAAGGACAACAGCAAGGACAAGGACAGCAGCAGCAGCAGCAACAAAGGGCACTTATTGTTGATGGGGAAGCTCTTGCTGTTCTTCTTGAGCCTGATGTTGCTATTCAATTTGCTGCTGTCTCTACGGAATGTAAAACTGTTATATGTAGTAGAGTTACTCCTTATCAAAAAGTAAACCCTAATAAACCCTAATAAACCCTAATAAACCCTATAAACCCTAATTATTTATTATTATTATTATTAATATTATCTTATTATATTCTTTTATTTATTTTTTATCTCATGTTTTTAGGGTTTATATTTGAATTTTTATGATATTTTTTAACAATTTAGGGTTTAGGGTTTAGGGTTTAGGGTTTAGGGTTTAGGGTTTAGGGTTTATATTCAGGGTGCAGTTGTATCATTATTAAAGAAATTAACAGGAGAAGTAACATTAGCAATTGGTGATGGTGCTAATGATTGTAACATGATACAAGCAGCAGATGTTGGTGTTGGATTAAGAGGAGAAGAAGGAATGCAAGCATTCAATGTAAACCCTAATAAACCCTCATAAACCCTCATAAACCCTAATAAACCCTAATAAACCCTAATAAACCCTAATAAACCCTAATAAACCCTAATAAACCCTAATAAACCCTAATAAACCCAAATAAAACCCAAATAAAACCCTAATAAATACCATTATATACAAATAAATAAACCCGTATAGATATAAACCCTAATAAACCCTAATAAACCCTAATAAACCCTAATAAACCCTAATAAACCGTAATAAACCCTAATAAAGGATCCCTGACCCCCCAGAGAGGGTAAAAAGAGGGTATAAAGAATAAAATAAATAAATAAATAAATATCCCTAAATAAAATAAATAAATATGTATGTATGTATATGTATGCAGACATCTGATTACGGTCTAAGTAGATTTAGTTATCTACAATATTTATTATTAGCTCATGGCCGATGGAATTATAGAAGAATAAGTAGATTAGTATTATATATGTTTTATAAGAATCTTGTTCTTGTTCTTCCTATGTTTTTTTATGGTTCTTTTTCTCTTTTTTCTTCGCAAAAGTTCTATTTTGAGATACTTTATCAAATGTATAATGTTGTATTTACTGCTGTAAGTCTATTTATCTATTTATTTATTTATTTATTTAGCTAGCTAGCTAGCTAGATAATTAGGGAGGGAGGGAAGGAAAAAGGGAGGAATATACAAAAAACCCGAGTTATATATGTACTCTATGTGTAGATATAGCTAGCTAGCTAGCTAGCTAGATAGCTAGCTAGCTAGCTAGATAGATAGATAGATAGATAGATAGATAGATAGATAGATAGATTCCCTCCCTCCCTCCTTATCTATTCACCCCTTCTCCCTCCTTCCTTCCCTCCTTCCTTCCCTCCTTCCTTCCCTCCTTCCTTCCCTCCTTCCTTCCCTCCTTCCTTCCCTCCTTCCCTCCTTCCTTCCCTCCTTCCTTCCCCTCCTTCCCTCCCTCCCTACTACCTATACATATATATACCTAGCTAGCTATATATATTAT